GCTGGTATCGGATAGGACCCACTTCATTAGGTACAGCTGGCTGGTATCGAATAGGACCCACTTCATTAGGTACAGCTAGCTGGTATCGGATAGAACCCACTTCATTAGGTACAGCTGGCTGGTATCGGATAGGACCCACTTCATTAGGTACAGCTGGCCGGTATCGGGTAGGACCCACTTCATTAGGTACAGCTAGTTGGTACCGGGTAGGACCCAGTTCATCAGGTACAGCTAGCCGGTATCGGGTAAGACTCACTTTAATAGGTATAATGAGCTGGTACTGGTAAGACCCACTTTTTTAGGTACAGCTAGTTGGTACCGGGTAGGACCCAGTTCATCAGGTACAGCTAGCCGGTATCGGGTAAGACTCACTTTAATAGGTATAATGAGCTGGTACTGGTAAGACCCACTTTTTTAGGTACAGCTAGTTGGTACCGGGTAGGACCCATTTCACTATGTACAATTAGCTGATTCTAGGTCGGACTCACCCAGCTCCAGAACCGTTTCAATGGTATTCAAGCTCAGAGGTGCCTTTCTGCATGCAACTGCTGTATTGTTATTTTCTAAGAATCTGTGTCATACAAACTGCAAAAATACTTTCTCCTCAGGAGATATGTGAGGCTCGTGTTTTCTCTCCTCAGCTTTCTTGACAGAATTGATTCTGTGAGACAGAACGACTATACACCGACAGACCAGGTGCGTGGTCTTATGTGATAGTGTCATCATCGTCTTTATCTTGCTAATTAGGAGGTTTGAAAAACACGTATGACATAACAGCTTTCATGGTAGGTGCTGTGAGCTGCACCAGACTGCTGTGTAAATGTGTTTTTTCATGTCTTCATTCTAGGACTTGCTTCGCTGCAGAGTTTTGACTTCAGGGATTTTTGAAACAAAATTTCAAGTAGACAAAGTAAATTTTCAGTAAGTACACTTTCCTTTGGCTTTTTTTCCCCTGAAATTTGCTTAAATATAAAACACACCATGATTGGAATAAAACAGGCAGATCTTGCTATGTCAGACCATTTCAGACATTGGTTTGAATACAACACAAAGCCCCGAGTTGGGCTGTTCCCTGCCTTGCACCTGTAGCTTCCAGGATAGACTCCAAAACCCCCTGCGACCCTAAATAGGATAAGCAGTTGCAGAAAATGGATGGATGGACAACACAAAGTCAAGGTGCAGGCTGTAGGGGGCGCTGTGTGAGAATTGCTGGATCAATAGTGCTGCACCTATGGCAGTGCTCTGTGAACAAAACAATGAGCGCTTGCAATGGTGTTAAACTTGAGCTATGGCCTGCATGGAAATCTGGGGCCTGTACTACGAAGCGGGGTTACTGGCTTTTCGGGGTAACTTGGATTTAAGGTACAGTACTACAGTTTAAATGGACTTCATATTCGTTCACTTACATTTCGCCCAGACTACCTTAAATCCAACAAGTTACCCCGATAAGCCAGTAACCCAGATTCGTAGTACAGGCCACTGGTCACAGCAAAAGCATTTAACTGTGTAAGACAATAGCACTGTGTCCACAAGGAGGCACTGTAGCACTTCACATTAAAAGTAAGTATGAAGAATTTGGATATTTGACCAGTACCTTTTACAGTGTATATATTTTTAGTTCTAATATCTGGTAAATATAAACAGTTCAAACACTTCAAATTATTTACAACATTATAAATATGCACAAAGCAATAAAGGAGACTATTTTAGTCTGTTTCGCCCTGCTGTGATACTCATGATTGCTGACTGTCTTTGTGTTAGTATGTTTGATGTAGGTGGCCAGAGAGATGAAAGAAGAAAATGGATTCAGTGCTTTAATGGTAAGTGGAGATTGTGATGCTAACGATGAGTCTGTGTGTGTGTGTGTGTGTGTGGGGGGGGGGGGATGTATATATTACGTTGTGTTACAGTTGTTATCCTGACAAATGAAAATATATGACTGCAATCAAAAAACTAAAAATACTAGTAGTCTACCATTTTGTTTGTTGTTTGATTACTTATGTTTAAGGTTAGGGCTGGGTAGGGGTCATGGTTGTCATTGTTTGGATTAGGGTTTTGGCCGTACAAATTAATGGACAGTCCCCACACAGAAATAAATACAAATGTGTACGTCTGTGTGTGTATCTGTATGTCTGTGTGTGTATGTGTGTGTGTGTGTGTGTGTGTGTGTGTGTGCGTGTGTGTGTGTGTGTGTGTGTGTGTGCGCGCGCCTGCTGCCTACTTTAAAGGCATTGCAATCGTTTCTTAAAACAAAAAAGTCCATTCATAAATAAAATGACCGTAATGTTATTGTAGTCCAAGGCATGAGAGGTTTACTAACTAATCACAGTCCAGCTTCCCTTTAGCCTGGTGTTCAGACGACCCAGAGAGCCCCTACAGACGCTCTTTCTGCCTTCTTTGTTTTAGACGTTACTGCTATTATCTTTGTTGTTGCGAGCAGCAGTTACAACATGGTAATCAGGGAAGACAACAGCACCAACCGGCTGCGGGAGGCTCTGGATCTTTTCCGAAGCATCTGGAATAACAGGTCGTCTTCTTGTCTCCTCCGTGTTGTTCCGGTATTTTCTCAAGCAAGAGGAGCTGATGAGCAAGATCTGAATTTTTAAAATGTTGCTTTATTGAAGCACAGATGTGATGATCCTGCACCAAGTTGGCCTGGCATGTTGTTAGTCCACATATGAAGAGCATCAAACTGTAATGAATTTTGACGAATCAGTGATGATTTTGATAGGATCAACCAGTTGGTGCGTGTAATTTGGCTGGTGTATGGGGCTGGGGGCTTAAACCACCCCAGCCAACTTTAATAGGTACTTTGTAAGACTCGCAGTCACCCCGTATAACACGGTGTGATTTGATGTCCTCTCCAGGTGGTTACGGAACATTTCGGTCATCCTATTCCTGAATAAACAAGACATGCTGGCGGAGAAGGTATTAGCAGGAAAATCACAAATTGAAGACTATTTTCCTGAGTATGCTCGTTATACGATGCAAAATGAAGGTAGGCTGCGAATTACAAGCTATCCCCCACTCTTCACTCTAATTTTATTGGCAGGAAATAGTTCATCGTGCAGACGAAGTGGAGTACTGTAAAAAAATGTTTTAAAATATTGATACAAATGAATAGTTTATATTTTACATATGTTGACTGTAAATTTGAAGAACGGAATGTTTTACACGCATCTGGGATGTAGTCAATTCAGTCAGTTGTTCGAGAAACATTTGTCTACATAATGAAGTAAAAATTCTTGTCTTGTCTCAAAAGTTGTCTTTCAACTGAAAGTCATGGCCAGTTATTAGATGACAGCAATAAGGTCCAACGAGGAGTAGACAAATTTAGTAAATGTGCTTCTTTTATTGCTAATTATTTATAATAATTTATTTATGTTTGTCATTGCTAACAGGAACTCCTCAGCCTGGGGAAGACCCAAGAGTGACCAGAGCCAAGTGCTTCATTCGAGATGAATTCCTTGTAAGCACAGTATTTGTTCTGCATGTGTCCCCATGTGTGTCCTCCTCTTCCATGTGTCCTAACACATCCTGTACCCATGTGTGTCCTCCTCTTCCATGTGTCCTAACACATCCTGTACCCATGTGTGTTCTCTTCCTTCCTTGTGCTCTGACCTGTCCTGTCCTCATATATGCACTCCTCTTCTTGTGTGTCTGTATGCACTACTGTGCATCCCTTTCTTTAGCGTGTTTTCTGACGTGTTCTTTCCCCTTGTGGGCTGCAGAGGATCAGCATGCCCAGTGGAGATCGCAAGCGCTACTGCTACCCGCACTTCACCTGCGCTGTTGACACAGAGAACATCCGACGTGTTTTTAACGACTGCCGGGACATCATCCAAAGAATGCATCTTCGGCATTATGAGCTCTTATGATGGACGGACGCACCTGTTCGTGTGAGGACAGTGAGCGCCACTTGACGCTGTGAAATTTGTCATTTTTCCCACAATGCCATTAGAACCCCATGTCATTCTTGCAGTCAGGAATGCGCGGGAGTGCATTCTTCCTTCATACTCCAGCTTTTGTGTCATTCCAGTCAGTCTCTGACTACCTCTCTTTCTGTTATTTTCGGTGTCACGCCTGGACCATCTAATATTGCCTGCAGGTGGGAGAGAGATGGCATTTTCCCAGGGTACAGGAGTACCGACTTTGTGACTCACCCCTGTGATGTGCGGGGCCTCTGCATTGACGGCAGAGGACGGGGTGGTCCCTCTGTGCCACAGAGGAGGAGTACAGGTCGTGTAGCTTCAGGATATTGATTATATCGTCATACAAGTTGTGGATCAACCTTCTACTTTTTGTCGTGATGTGGCACAGGAGCAAAGGAGGTGGAAGTGAACATTCTGGGGCAGCTCCAGTGTCAGAGCTGTGCCAGCTCCATCATCATACTGGCCTACATCCTCTTGGACCATTATCTTATATAGAGCTGTGTGTATATATGTATATGTATGTATGTATATATGTATGTGTATATATGTGTACATACGTCTGTATGAATGTATGTGTGTGTATATATTCACTTAGATATGCACACACACCCATACATATATGTAAAATATTTTGTTTGACCTTGTAATGGTGTACAAGGTTTATTATCTTGTATACACTGTAAAATGTAATATTATTTTGTACAACGCTATTGAAAAAACTACTTGTAGAAGATCTTTGTGCCTTGATTATGGCTGTACCTGTAAAATTAACTCAGATGTAAGTATGTTTTTGACTGCACTGTACAGCTTGATGTCAACTTTATCATAAGGAGAAATTGTGGGGGGGGGGGGCTTTCTCTGTAGACTTTAGTTTTTTCTGGTTTATAAAAAAGGACATGCTGTTTAGTAAAAAAAATAAAATAGGAAAAAATTCCTGTACACATTATGCAAATGTATCTGTTACTTGCAGTCATGACTGGCAGAAATGACCTCTGCCTTCACTTCTGTCTTTATCTCACACTCACCATCAGTATCTTACCCTGGTATTTCATTTCTATAGGAGATTCTTTACAGTACAAAGTCTGTCCACAATATAAAGTGAGACTGTGTGCGTGTGTTTCTAATGAATGTATACTGTATGTACATCTAAATCTGCTTTGTGATAAGCATGCTAATTTATTCCCAAACATGAAGTTGAACCTTGACGACCAGGTTCACCTTGAAATCGACATGAAATGAAAGCAAGCCTATATCACTCGTGACTGGAGACTGGAAGACCAAAGCTGGGAAATACAGTTGGACCATATGGACTTAGAAGTGGAAATAAAGCTGTAGAGCAGCTAATTTTTGATGCTGAACCCATTTGACAGTGAACCAGAGGATGTGTGGACAGAATTCAAAGTTGTCATCCAAGAGGAACCTGAAAAATGTCTGGTCAGAAATCAAAGTGGTTAACAGAAGATACTCTAGAAATGACAAAGAAGAGAAGCTGGAATCAGGCAAGATAATTAGCACTGAATCACAAAATCCAGAGGGATCTACAAAATAACTAAGGGAGGAAATCAGAATGCTTTTTCCAAAGATTTGTGGGATTAAAGAGAAGTTTCAACCTCAAATGGGGATGTTAATGGGCACATAGCTGACAACATAGGTCAGAGATACAAGGGATAAGAGGCCAGTAGTAGAGACATCAGCAGCCAAGATATATTTAAAGTGGTCTGACGTGTGTGGCCAGATCATCGCTGCCAACAAGCCATTGGGGATAGGTGGCATTCTGATTGAAATATTATGGAAAACAAATTAATGAAAAAAAAGATAAACAACCAGTCTAAGTAACTGAAGGCCAGTTTTGGAAATGATCACAGCAGGTAAAGCATTAATGATGCACTGCCTCACTGCACTTAGCCACCAGGTTGTCATTGATAGTTGTTTGGCTTTTACCCTACACTGACTAACTTGTACTTTATTAGACCACACAATGTCTGCTGAAGATCCAGGAGCCTTAATTGTTCTGCTACATTACAATTATTAGTTAGCTAATTTAATGCAGTATATGCTGCATTTCAAATTGTACTTAGTACAATTATGTAATTTCATTTTGTTCGCTGCTAATTACTTTATTTACAAATTAAGGATTTGAAGTGGAAGTGGGCAGTGGTGCCTTAATGGTTAGGGAAGCGCACTTGTAATTTAAAGATTACAGGTTCAAATCCCCAACCAGCAAGGCACCACCCCCAAGCACTGCTCCCTAGGTGCTGAATTAGCTGCCCCCTGCTGTGTCACATTGTCACATATGGGTTAAATGCAGAGAATACATTTTGTTGTTGTGTGCTGTGGTGTGTCAACAATGACAATTAATCACTAGATTCTAAAAATCTGGGGGAAAAAACATTATTCTATATGTGCTCTGTGTTCTCCCTGGGGTTGCTTAGCCATAGCCACAGGTTTTACATATGAAATAACCTGAGCATTATTTGTTAAATCCAGTCTTTATAGATTGATTTAAGGGCCTGTTATTCATCCTGTCCTCCAGCTATGCATTTTGTCTTGACTGAGCCGGTTGTATAATGTAAGGTGCATAAATATGCTACCCAGTGCTTGAAGTGGGGTAAAACAGGTGCCGGTACTCCGGACTGTAAAAAGTGTCCGTACGCAAGAACCGCTCCCAGTACTCTGAAAAGAAAAACAAAGCGAAGTCGGTAGTGCGTACCGGTGAGTACCAGCCCATTTTGAGTACTGAATCTAATACTGCATCTATACTCCTTTTAATGCAACGCGGAGTATTCCCATAGAAATTCAACAGATGGCGCTGTAACCTAGTTCACGATGAACCTTACAAAAAAAAAGTTGCTTTTAAAAATCCAGGCAAAAATATTATTAGAGACGTCGTCGGTGTCTGATTCCCCTTTCCCATTGGCGAGGGAGCCCGTAATGCTTTCTGATTGGCTCAGGCGTTTGTCATTTAATCACAACAAGGCAGTGAAGTTTTCATTGAGGATAAAAACGTGAAATCGATTAAATCCGAGCGCAGATATCGGAGTGGTGTGAAGGTGGGTGGGCTGCTTCCTCGCAAAGAAGAAAAAACGAGCTTTTTGCTTACTTGGCGTACATGGCGTAAATCATGAAGTTAAAAACTGGTGTGTCAATCATAAATTCAGAGTTTTTGTGAATTCTTTTTCAGTGAGACGAGCGAAAAGCTGGGCGCCCTTAAAGAGCACTTTGCGCGAAATGCTGAAGCCATGAGTCGCCTCACCTTTTCTTCTGCTATCCGGTCTGGGGATTCTCTACAGGCAGTATTTCTTCTTTGAAGTGACTGCTTCTTTGTCTGATAACTGAAACTTGGACACTAACTTGGACAAAAGTTTGAACTGATAGAAGACAAACTAAGGCTCCGTGGCTTTGGCGTCGCAGGTCCGTTTGGGGAGGCTGGAGGTGAGACGCGGTGCCATGTCGGGGTACCTGCGCTTCGTGGACCGCACGCCAAAGCTCTCCTGAAGGATATGCGCGTATCTTGAGCAGCCGATCCAGCCTGTCATTCTGCTCGAAAGCCATGGCTTCGGAAGTGCTCTGCGGGCTCGTCTTCAGGCTGCTTCTCCCAGTGTGTCTAGCAGCCGGTAAGCCGCTCCTTCTCACTCATCGCACAGCAAAGTTTATCGCATCAGCCTTGAAATAATAAACCATCATCTGCGAAACAACTCAGTAACCCCACGCATGAGGAGTATACATAAACCCGCAACGGTCAGTGTGTGGGCTGACTGGGAAACGTGCCATCGTGAAACACTCTTATTGCCGGAGCTTTTCAGCCTTTTACGAATAAAGGAAATTATGGATTTGAAGTGAAAAATCTGGCCCGGTACATATACCCGTCGTATTAGGAAGGGTGATTAGGAAGGTTTAATTTAAGTTGAATACACGATCAGTTTTGATTTAATATGATTATATTTGTACAACAGTCTTCCATTTTTTTTTGAAAATATAATTAAAAACCGAGGCTCATATTTGAAGCTCTACATGTAACATTCTGTATTATGACAGCTGTACATGGGTCACTATCTGTTTACATTAATACCCCATTTAAAACTTTATTCATATAGGTATATCCATTGATGAGCGCATTAGAATTACATGCCCACATATGTACTACATTTTAATATGTTTGTTTTAGACTGGTACCGATGAGGTTATTGGACGATATTTCATAATATTAAGCGAATAAGTTAATCTCCCTATCACGACTTTCTTTAAATCGGTATCATTTAGCGACACTTTCAATAATATTTTCATTGTACATCCTTACTGATTGCACTTACCCATATGCAAAAAGTAAAATATTAAGGAAATATAGCCTACTTTAAATTTGTTTGATCCCATTAAAGGAAAGTTTGCGTCGCCACATTTTTGACAATAGTATATTTGTTTTTCATGTCAAATAATTCAACGTCAATAAAATGTACCTGGCGTTAAATATTAATTTAAATAGAAAATTGATGATTTGATTTTATTTCCTTTGATATGTTTGTCGTTGATATTATTAATCACAATTTTCTCCTAAATTACAATTTTAGCAGTTAAATGCTATATCCATTTAAAATAACGAGTTAGGATTTTGCTGCTTCAAGTAGGACACTTGGCATTTTTTCATTGTGTTTTGTAAGGTTTCTAAATTAATCGCGTGTCTTCGTTAGATTTATATACTATGTTACTGTACTAAAAGCTACATGAACGTGAAGCCGTTTAAATGACTTTTTAAATTTAGTGCCGAATGAGGTGAGGTTTAGTGTAATCTGATTTAGCAACACAAACGCATTTCACACCTTTTTATGAATCCAACTGAATATATGGAGTCCATATATATGACTTTCTTCGTTTTGGACTGATTTACGGCCCAGATATTTTACGTAAATCATTTCTTTTTAGTATTTAAGTGGGAGATTTGATCTGAAAGAAGCGAAGTTATCGGTCCATTAATCATTACGACATCGTCCAGCTGTTAAAGGGATCCTGATCAGCTGCAAATGTCGCAGTTAGAATAAGCCCACAACACGCATTGAAAGTTTTTTTTTTCCTCCAAAAATGCAAATAATAAAAATGTTTTGTTTCGGATTTTCAAATTTGGCACATTGCGCTGAAATTTCATAGAGCAGACTAGCGCACAGTCAGAATGCTGTCTTGTAAAACACAGAAGGTGATGTTTTGGTAAGCAATATCAGGTCTGGAAATGTAGACCGTCTTGATAAAAGCATAATCTGAAAGCCATATGAAACCATGTTGTCTCTGTACTATTATGCTGAGGTTGACCACATGGGATCTCGTTATATAATTTTCAGGTGTATATGTAAGGTTTATGACGAAGCAAATTTGCAGTATTAATATTATCGCCCTGTCTGGGTGCTCCTATCAGAGAGCAGGGTAACTGACTGCTTTTTTATGTAACAAGGATTTCAGCGGGTAGTATGAGTGAGCGGTCATGAAACGATACTGAACGGAGGCGTCTGAAACACCCCCCCCCCCCCCCACGTCGGCACTATTAACCTCCTTATTCATAAACATGCCCGGTTTAGCAAACATCTTGTTCTGATTGTTGATTTTCCTAAATATTTATACTAGGCACATATTGCATGACACACAATGTACCATAAATCTGATGATTAAAAAAACATACACATAATCCAGTTTCCTTTATGTATCTCTGCAGTTATCGAAAAATGGCGTGATACTCCCCTATAATACACGGGAAGAGCATATATTCTTGAACACTGAAATTGGTCTTGCACGTGCTAAATTGCATACTGCTGTTTTTGAGTGCTGGTGTGGATGCTGGTCCGTAGTGATGGTGGAGTATTACTCGCAGCGTTACGCTCAGGAAGGACTGTATGTTTCCATTCATTCACACAAAGCAATTATAAACCGCATTAATTCATAACACTGTGGTGAGAAGG